GTAATCCCAAGACTTATGAATGGGCTACATTGAACTCTTTGCGCAGCATGCCACGAAAAACTCCTGGCATTGAAGCCACAAAGACGGCCTTCCATGGTTTTCTAAACAGATATGTGTTTGGAAAGGGAGGTCTTTTGGATTGACAGATATAAGGCCAGGAGGGAGACCGCCGACAGTCAGAAAACTTGCCATCGGTTCAATCGAGCGACGAAGAAGCCCACAGATACCAGCGCTGCTCGCCAACGACTAACAATGCTCTCTGGGTGCAATGCTTTTCCAGCCAAGGTTTTCTTCGACACCGCCATCACTGCTTCTGCTTTGCTAACCGTCTTCTTAAGCACAGTCTCCCACGGCATCTCTGCCTCCATGCAGTTCATCTTATCGATCATCATGCTCTCGCAAAGACGCTAAAATATATTCGTCGATCCGCTAGCATCCGCTTTCCACATGAACCAGCTTACAACCCCCGCATTATGTGTGCGTGACGCAGCTTCCGCGTTGAATCATTGCTTTGACGGCTTGTGATGATCAGAAAATCCGAAGCAAATCACTTGATATGTGAAACAGAGATGCCAGAGCGAATTCTATGTCTATCTCAGCCGATAAATGTTCCGTGTCTCCTTTCCAGGCTTCATGACAACATGAGCCAGCGGCCGCCCGGCAGGGGCCTCAGCGAGATTGCTTCAGTGAGGGTAGATGATTGGCAGTTCCCCAAAGAGTCCGGGAAGGAGAGGCCGCCAAGCTTCGCGGCGTCCATATAAACTTACAACCGTGACGGCTGCTTGTCCACGGCAGGAAACAAAGCTTTGGGCCTGAGACCGTCCTCTTTATGCACAAGTCCCACCTCTCCTATTAGCCAGTATCTTGGATCCTCTTATCAGCGTCATGGTCATATGGCTATATGCTCTCGCTATGGAATACAGAATCAAAGTCAAAGTCAGTAAATCCCTCGCCTATGCCTGCAGAAAGGTTTCATCACGTCTACGAAAATTTGAAGCCAATCTCCATGTGAGCTGGGTCGGAGTACCAGCATCAGCATTGCGAAGTGCCTACGTACCATTCATCACAGCACTATAGCCGTCCCCGACTACCCTCCCAAGGGGTCCATCTGTGACCAAACCGGCGATTCGCCTTCTTAGCGCGTGATCCCTTGATTTTCTCGGCACATGATCCATCGAAGCCTCTTCCTACTACCGACTGCAGAATATTGCCCAGAACCTCAACAACACCGGTGCATCCGGAATTGGCCTACCTTGCCGTTCAAGCAACTTCTTGATCTGCTCAGAGCTTCTCCCATGCTTCTCGATGTCTAAAAGCGACGATCAAGTGCCCCGATGGCGCTGGACGTCCGCAATTGATCCACTAGACCGGCGTTGACGTATGCATGAACTCTGTTGACCAGTGCCTCATCTGGTGCGGAGATTTGCGACGCTGCCGAATGCGCATTCTATGATACACAAAATTGAAAAGGAGACAGCCGAGTGTTCAAGGCTTGCGGCGCTTTCGTCTGACATGAGCAGTCATGAAAGACTCAACACGAGTTGTCTCAAGATACTGACCCCCCATCCCCTCCCTATTCATTGACCCTGAAGTCAACTCCGGTCATGGTGGAGGCAGAACAATAGTAACATACGAGACCGCGTCGGGGAAGAGGTCAACAGCGACAACAGCGTCCTTTTTGGAATGAACACACAAGACAAGCCTGTGGCTTCGGAGACCATGCCAATCCTGGTCAAGATCGCTCCAAGCTACATCTCATTCAGACCCAAATACTGCGGTACACTCCGTGCCGGACGCTGGCATCAGCTTCACCCTTTAATGAGTCATAGCCGGTGGCGTTCTCCGTCCGCGGAAGCGTGCTGTCGATAACCGGATCGTTATGACAGCCAACAAGAAATTTGTCTGCGAAGGATAAGGTTCGCAGGTTTTGCATCCACGCAGCCTAATCCAGGCGTAATGATTGAGATTTATAGCAATGGATCGCATGTTGGACGGCGAAATAGTGAATTAAACGAAGCCAGCTCAGCTGAAGATCGGTATGCGCAGCCTTAACTCCGATTAAGCAGAAGAAGAACAGCGGGAAGGGAGGAGCAGGTAGGTCTTTCTGGTCGGCCAGCGAGCAAAGTGGACTCGTAAGAAAAAGGACTTTGTTTGAAGAGAGAATGTCAAGCAATGCTTCCCGGAGTGATGCGGCTCGAGATTGTTCTGCCAGTCTCACCATCATTGGGGACGTCGATACTTCGCATTGTTCAGTAAGACACTTGCTAAGAGCGTCATCTTACATTCGCAAGTAGCCGCTGGCGCTGCAGCCACCTTAGAGGAGTCTCTCACGCTGAGAAAAGCTGTGAATGAGACAATACAAGGTTGGTGAAAAATAGCAGACTGAGTGATGCCGGGACTTGTATCACTGTGATTTTTTTTGATCTCTTTGACCTCTCCAGAGGGTGTTTTCATGAGTATATGTGACATTGCGATGATGAACTGGGTACAGCCTGTATTGGCAATGGCCGAATACCTGATGGCGAGTTGGATTGGTTGAAGCTCTGAGATAATGTCCGCTTCAACAAACCTGGAGGAAAGTTGCTGCGAGTTAAGTCGAACCCATCGAGTTCATGGTAGTGTCTTGGAAACAGGGACAGATCAAAAGCACCACGAGTGTAAGGGGTTGGGAAGAGTGAGTCAATACATGCCTCCACTTTCGTCATTTTCTCGGCCTCTGCAGCTCGGATCTGCTTGTTAGGGAATGTGATGACGGAGAGAATAGGAAGAAAAAGAGACAAAACTTCTTTCTTGAAGCCTGAAAGAATGCCAAGCGTGTCAGCTCAGTCCTAGACGTGCTCCATTGCGTGATTTGCTGACCAGAATCCTCTCCTGGGAACGGATGAACCGAGGCGTTTGACCGAGCTGCAACAGAATATTTCTGATGGTGGTTCTCATCATATTCATTGCCTCTGCGATCTTGTTCCTTGAGGATTCGATCTTGCCCTTCTGTTGTCTCCTATGATGAATGCGAGAGGCTTTCTAAGCAACAAGAATGGACCGCCTCGGACTGATTGTCAGAAACCACCATAGCACAGGCGCATACAGGGATCATACTCGCAACAGAGTACATATTCCTCAGATTATACCCTATTAAAGTTCTTTTTCATGTTTTTGCTAGAGCCCGCAAATGACACCGCACGTCATGACGATTCCTGAGACAGACATGGCCATGAGCATCGCCTGGTGATGCGCATTCCATGTTATCCTTTGGCGGCTCCGCGATAATACACAAAGAGAAATGCTTTGCTCCAGCAAACACACCTGAGATTGAACCAAGGTTCTCATATTGACGGTCGTCGTTATCTGCCGGAGCCAAACACCTTCACTCGTTTCAAAGCCACAGCACACTTACAAGAACTCCGTCCCGCCAACAACTCACACTTTGACGTCGTCCTAAGAATAAGAAAGAAATAACCCGGCGGTCCCTGTAATGTCAGTTCCGCCCGAGGAGGTCATCCATGTGGCTCTAGATGCCGGGTCGGTGCGTGGTTTGAAACCCCTGTTGCTGCCCTGTCTATTCCCTGCAAGCAACACTTGTCCTGGGGCCATGACGCACTCAGGCGACATACTTGCACTGTTGAATGCGTCGCGTTGCGCGCCGGGCAACGTCACTGCCAAGACGAATTGATACAATATGGCACGGCACGTCTTTGGTTGTTGTCAGCCTTCTGCAACAACTGGGGCTCATACTGTATGTGGCAGGATAAGCAGTACCTCAACCCAGGCGCAATCATTTGATAAGGTTCCACCATATCAACGCCATCAAAGGCATCATTTCAGCGCGGAAGGTGAGACCTATTCCGGCCGGAGGGCAAAACAAAGCGACATTCTTGACGATGGCTGACGTCGAATTTCCGGAGGCTACGGTTATTGGGACAGACAACTTGTTCGTTCAAGAAAACAGTGGAATGAAAACGGGTGGATCTAAGCAAATGCCGTCCTAAGGAGTATTGCACGGTAAGGTGTTGAGTGGAAAGAATGTCTCAACAAGACTGAGTATGATCCATTTTTGGCAAACACCTTTGGTGTCTCAGTGATGATGAGACGACAGGATACGATTGGGAAATGACCGCCGACGTCATTGTTTACTCGGGCGTTGCGGTGGTGTTTGTACCTTCGTTGGACTTTACCCATCTTCAAAATGGCACCGCAGTCGGGCAACCAAGGAGCACGGCTGGCGACCAGTCTCGAAAGTGTGTCTAGCTGAAGGTTCATCGAAGAGCTCAGTTCTCGGCAATTGCGTAACAAGTCAGAATTTCGTCCTTGGAGATGCTAGAGACGAAAAACTGAGGGAATTGCAGCAAACCTTTATGTGGCTTTGACGAAACTTTGGAATGGTAAGACGGCGCCGGCAGCTTCTTGGGTGGTAATCATATGGCTTCGACACAGAAGGAAGATTCGCAATGTGTCAATAAGGTATGCTTCAAATGTAAGTAGACAAAAGTGCGGGGGAGGTTAAATCAGAAGGGCTTTTACAGCAGTGAATAAGGTTGCAGCCGCTTTTGTGGGAGATGGCGCAAGGTCTGTCGCACGGGGACGTCCAGCAGAACTAGGGCGCTGTATTGACATGAAAGGTAACAAAGCAGTCTCACATTGTGAATGTGAGTCTGAGGTGGCTTGACTGGACTTATTCTCCCGATCATATGGCCCCAGGCCTCACTGGTCGCAGATAGACCAAGTTCCATTCTTCCAGAGTGAGGACGGTGTGGGGCTACAATGATCTGTGGCCTTACTCAACCCGCGAGTGACAAGGTACTCGTAGATGGCTTGAAAAACGAAAGATGACTGACACCATGACGGTTTGCTTTCCGATGTTACCGATCTGCTAAACATGCAATCATGACCCATTCATACATAAGCCCGCTTCTAAGCTTGTTCTGCATCCGTCTCTCAAAAATAAGCCACAACCTCTGGGTTCGCGTCGCCCTTCTCACCCGACCATCCTCCCGCATGCATATCTAGACCAACGCTGAAATACTGTCAAGAGCTTGCTTCGTGTAGACCTGGGTGGCGTTCAGGTCCGCTACAAGCGTGTGATATGCCCAGCCAGTCTCCAACAAGACTTTGTTTCGGCGAAAGTCTCCCCTTCGACCCTCGATCTCGACTTTTAGTGATTCTTGAAGCGCCTTCGCGTTGACTAGACTCTTCTCTGTCTCTGCGATCCACTTTTGCCTCTCCGCTGAAGTGTGCTCGGTTACGGCTGATGTTTTGTCCACAATACCCTCAAAGAAGGCAACGTCACTATCGGCTGCGCGCTGCTTCAAAAGAAGGGTTGTATCCTCTGCCAACTCTCTCGTGATAATTGTCTCAAGTGCGTTGATCTTGACAGACAACTCAGTTGGGCTACATCCCAAGTTGCGCACAATATCCTCGTTGATTTGTTTTAGTGCATCGCCAACAACTTCGCTCTTGTGCTTCAGAGTCGACTGAACAGTGTTGAGGAGTGGCCGGAGGCCGGGACAAGCTGCACCGACAAGTCTGGCGACGGCGTTCTGGGAACTCGGATTGCCGATGGCCAGGTCTGATTCTTTCTGTGCCTGATTGGGAATTCCGTCCTGTAAACCAAGTTGCTGAGCAAAATCACCAGACAAAATCTTCTGCAGATCTCGCTGGGTCACCTCAACATCAAATTGGGCCAGATCGCTCTGCTCCGTGCAGATGAAAGTTGCAAGGGCAAGAGCAAGGATACCGCTGCTGGTCTTGATTCGTTGTTCGGTACGGGGCTGCTATCCAAGGATCAGTATTTGCTTGAATTAATGGGGCCGCTACGTGATGTGATGAAGGAAGACATACCAGTGATGTGTATGTTATCGGCTGCTCAAGATCTACCAGCTGCCGCGCCTTGATCCATGGCTCAATCCAGGCTTTGATCACATCTAACTCGGTCGCGGGCTCTGCCGTATCGCAAACGTCGACTTGTGGTACAGACCGTTTGAGATGTACGACGATCCAGCTGCTACGGGATTCCAGCCGCAGCAGAACGACCAAGTTGTCCGGAAGGCAAGCCGTAACTTCCTGCTCTGCATATCGTTCAAAAGGTTCCCGGGGGTCGAAGATGTGGAACGTGGGCTTCACTTTGTTGAGCGTCAGAAGAGCATCGACGCAGGCCCCAATTCCGTTGGCTCCAAGGTCTTCGCCGAGAGCGAGGGATACCATCGTATCGCGAGTCTGGTGGAGGAGTGGCGTTGTCGAGGAGCTGTGGCGTTGCCTTTTCGACGAAGGTGTTTGGCTCGTGGTGACATTGAGGGATGTGCGGTGTTTGCCACTTCGGGTGGGGGTTGATTGTGGCTGGCAGTGAGGCGGTCAGCATGCTTGGAAACGAGACAAGCAGGGCGTTTGTGCGCGCAGATGGGGATAGGGTATAATTACTTGGATCACTGGCTGCTTGGGCAACTCAGGCGGCAGCGCATTCATGCCTGCAGCTTTGTTCAGGTCTTGCGTAGTAATGCCACGGTCTCGGGCTTGCATAAGAGAAGCTCCACGACGGTCGGTCGAGCAGCGTCGGACGAGGCGCAGAGCATCTAGCCAGCGAGGATGTGTGTTGGCGAAAGCGGCAAGAGCATCGAAGAACGGTCGACCGTGGTCCAGGCGAAACCAGAAGGCAATGGTGCCAGGTGTGACCTTCCACGTGAGGCAGCACTTCTCTAGCTTGTTTGGGGAGCGTGTGTGTAGGGTTGCCGGATCATGGTCGACGTCCAAGGCTCGAATGACGACTTGCTGAGTAGCGTGCGACAGTGACGCCCGTAGGTCTGACAAGTCGATGGAGGCCTCGACGTCTCTCTCTAGGCTTTCAAGGCTGGAGACGATGTTGGCCGCCCAGATGCCATGTTCAGATTCGTCCTCGGGCTCGAGAGTGACGCCCCGCTCGAAGCCGACGATGGCGTCTTTGATGTTGGGCGCAAGAGAGATATCCGCTTCGCTAGAGTTATCCATGCTTCGTTGGGGTGGCATTGATTGCCGAGATCGTGATTGATTGCAGACGAGAGGAAAAAGACAAACAGGGCCGCCTTGGGCGGGCGGGCATCGGCAGCAGGATGCAAAACAACGACGTCGGTTTGGTTGAGGAAGGCAGTCGGTGGTGAATGGTTTTGGAAAGAAAGAGCGATGGGGGAGGGCAAAGAAGAGGCACTGCTCCTGTGGAATTATTCTATGCGTTTGCTTTGTATCGATAGCTCTGGAGGATACCAGAGGTAACTGTGTGGTACAGGTGTATGAGTGCTGCTGGCAGCGACTCTACTTCTGGCAGTGATTCCACTTCTAGCAGTGACTCCACTTCTAGCAGCGACTCCACTTCTGGCAGCGACTCCACTCTAGCCCCCGCATAGCAGCGACTTAATCAAATGGCAACGACGTGATCTAACCTGGATGGAAATTTTCGGCCGCAACAACATGATGAGGGAGACAATCGACACTCCACGACCACCAAACTCACGTCTACCAACGCACGTTCATGATCCAGCGCGTCGGAAGCGGTCCTCGGCCCCGCAGGTCACTACCACACAGTGTACAGGCCATTCCTTGACCGACAACATCGGCAATCGCACCTCACTGATGCCACCCCCATTGCCATCCTTTTTGGGCAACTTCACGCCTTGGAGGATTTGTAGCTAGACAAGACTGCATTTTCTGCCATATTTCTTCCTCCTCATCCGAGTTATTTTGCCTTGAGATGCTACCTTTCTCGCGGCTTGATGAAGACCGCAGCACGCCAGATTTGAGTCCTGCCGACACATGATGCTGAAGATGGAAAGAACTGCTTTGACACCATTGGGCAAGCGACTTGCACTCCAGGCACCAATGACTTGCGGATTGACGCGGTACTTCGACGAGCCGCCGATTGAGGCTCCATCTTCTCAATCACCGAGCGGAACAGAACGGGCCTTGACAAGGCCTTGAAACGACTTTTGCTATCCACTCATCATCCCTGGAAGCCGCCTTGAGCATTCATCACGATAATTGTAGCAAACTCCAGGACGTGTTGACTTCTTCACCCGTTTGCACCGCTATGCCCACCCAGCCTCCCTGCGAGTCTTCTCGCAGCATTGTTTGCCCCGTCCTGCAGATTACCACAGCCCCAAAATTGTGCCTTCGCGTCACCGCTTGCAAGTCGCCAAATGTAGCTTTCGCGTCATTGTCACCACCGTCTTCTCTGTGCTGACGTGTATCCACCGGATACAGCAACAACAAAAGATGTCCAGAATGGCACACGGCTCCAAGCACCCCAATCATCGCAATCGGTTGTGTCGTTGGCTCTTTCGATTCATCGGGCGGAGCTTCCATCTCACTCGCCCACTGGTATGCAAATGTTCCCCGGAAAGTTGCACCGGAGCTGCCGTGGTAGATATCTCTTGGCTCTTCCTAAAACATCTGGCGATGCATGCAAAATCATTGGCTTGATCACATTTCATCTTTCAGCCTTCTACGTCGTCCGTAGTATTGCACGTCATGAGCTCTCGCACGCCATCGGCAGCCGAACCGTCATGTAAATCAACCTCGCTACGACTTGCCTCTGCGCTTGCTTCTACCAGTCTCCTGCGCTCGCTTATCACAAGCTTGGCGACTCGTGGGCTCGTCACTGTGCGTATCGTGCGCCCAGGCAATAAATGAAGTTGTGGGCGACAGTTGTGACGCCCCGCATATCCGGACGCAATTATCGGCACATATACTCTCCCGCGAATCCAACTACTCGACTGTGAAGTTACAATCACTCCAAGAGACAGTCCACAATTCCACCTTTGGGAACGTGACTGCTGCTAAGATGACTTGCCAGGAACACCTGCGGGGCTTGCTAGGTCGACGTCTCGTTCGACGCAATAGAAGAGAGCTCTAACCAATTTGTTGCTCACACTCACAATACAACGTCTGCTACCAGCTGACTATATCAATATCATTTTGTCAGCCCGCCGGTTCCACATATGCTTTGGTGATTCATAGGAGACCATGCCAACAAGATTTCGGATATGAAGAGTCAAATAACAGACTTCATGCATTAAAGCCTTTCGGAACACTAGACAGTGGAATCCATCACTATCTGTAGGACGTCGATATCCTGTCTAAGTCCATCATCTACTGCAGGACCTGTGTTTTTCATTTTAATGCCTGATGGTTATAGAATGATTCTTTTCGTGGAATTCCAAGTTAGACCATGATGTTATTCCAAAGGCCTACTGGAACTGGAGAGAAGCAGATAAGAAAACAGGCCACCAGAGTCTCAGAGACGAAGCGGCTGATCACGTAATAGTGCGCCTCACTCAGAACTTCCCTTCCTCACTCACCACTTCACATTCTCACTCACATCCTCACTCATATCCTCACTTATATCCTCACTCATATCCTCACTCGCACGCATTCGGCGCTTCCATCGCTCGATGTATTACTCAAATTTATTTGAGAATGACACAACTAGAACTACGAAAGCTTGGGGGACATAAATCAGATGATTGAGGTGGAGGAACGAGCAATTTCAGGTGCCATTGACAAGAAGGCGGCAGCTGTCCGGGAAGACCACCTTCTGCGAGGACGTTTGAACAACGCAATATCTGCAAGAAACACTTAAGCGCAGGACTCATTACGCTTTGCTGGACTCGGAAGGTTTGGAAGACGGAGGTGTCATTCAGCAGCCCTAGCCCGAGATCGGAACAGTTTATGCTTAGGATACGAATTCGATGACCAGTCCCCACGAGAGAGATACCGAACTGTAGGCAAAACCGGCAAGACACAAAGATGACAGGTTCGTTAAGGTTATAAGATAGTGGGACGATAAATGACGTACTCATGCTCTTTCGTATATCGGAAAGGTCTTGAGCTTCATCTCTGCCACCTGTGATAGGTTCTTGCTGACTAACAGCTTGAGCTCTGCGCTTGACTTTTATCATGTTCCGGTCTAGAGTCCGCTCCGCCCTGAAATTCGAATCCTGCTTCCTTGTCCGAAACACATCGTTACTCTCCTTATCAGACGCCCAGACAAGAAGTTTTCCCCCTCAGGAAATCGGTCTCAGGATTTCATGTCCGCCTATATAGATGAGGCCCTGCATTTCAAGACTTTTATGCTGGCGTGTCCTTCTTGACACGAGCGTCCGTCTATCCAGCTCTTGTTCTCGGTCGCTTGTCAACATTGACTCGCTTAGGCCATGGAAACACATTTGCGCAACGAGAGAGATCCCTCAACTGATTTTGGAGAACTTAAGGACATATTGCTTCAAGCAATTCATGTGATGTGAGAACTGGGCTCGCGCGGCATATCCGATGGTGTGGTCGGCGAGAGGACAGATTGGGCCTAAACATGCATAAGAAGATCAACGTCGGGCAGTTTTAGGAACTGGCGCGTCTCGAACTAGCATACAACCGGTATGGGGGCATATCCATGTGTGTATTGAATATTTGATTTCATAGATTAGTTGTCAGCATAAGTAGATTATATTAATGAGGGCAAAGATACGGTGAAGACTTATTAACATATCACGACGCTTACCACCCAAGTCTGAGTTCCTGGCGTGAGGCGATCTTAAGTCGCGTTTGCGAGACTACCGTGATGTGAACTTTGATGCACACTCGCCAAATCAGCTGGTTGACCACTGGGAGCCATGTTTGAGTGTCTCTGTCTGTCTTTGCTTGCAGAAACATGAGAAGAAGAGGATGACATACTTGGGGATTGGTGCCGGAAATGGCTAAGGCTTGCTCCAGACATTTGACAGCCGATACTGCGAGTTGGCATCAATAAATAGTGCCAAAAGCATATTCGCTAGTATGGGGAACATGCAACAATCAATTTAAGGGGATGTGTGTCGGCTGGTGCATCATGCATCGTGAAGCGTTAGGCGAGTCGAGCCACAAGTTTCGAGATCCAGGATGAGACTAGATGGTGGAATTCATCACCGTCGGATGCATCTGTGGCAATCAATGACGTGCAAGATGAGCAATCTAGGAATTTTGTATGCGTCCACAGTCCAGCGGATGGAATATGAGAGCAAGATCGAACCATGATCTAGCGAGATGAATGTGCAGCTCAGGGTGAAAAAAAGATGTGTAGCAGGCGAGAAGTTTGAACTGGAATCTACAGATTAGACAGAGATGGAGGGACGTGGAGGGAATTAAAATGAGTGGTTCGGTTTGAGGAGATGATGTTGGGGACTTGAGTGGCATTTGCTCTGCACCATGACTTGGAATGTCAATTTGGAGATAGAAAAGAGTACCTAGCTGTCTATCGGTCTGAGAGGCTGTGGCAAATGACCGTCTGATCTATTCCAGTTGTGTATCTCGAGGCCATTCCGAACCATGCTCGCGATGATGTCACCTCGTTGAACCCGTCGGCATAGACAACATCTGTCATCTGTCCTATGAACAATGAACAAAAGCTCCCTCGACATCATATCAGGTGGTGAGTAAATGCGGAAGCATGCGAATGTTTCCACCACAACACCCACCAAAAGCGCGCGACCTTCAATGAATAAGTCCAACTGACGTTGCAACCACTATCACGAACAAGCAGGCAAGGATGGCCGACATGCAAATCGTGTCGCAGACCTTGAAGTCTTCGGTACAGGTGTCGTGGGCCTGCTCGATCATCGTTTGTTTCATTTCGGTAATCTTGGTGATCCACGTTGCTCTTGTCTGCCAAGGGAAAAGCTTTAGCAACATGAAAAACGTGAGAGTCAGGGACACGGACCTCGCGGGCGGACACAACATCTCTGGCAACTTCTCTAGCCTGGCATTTGCCGAGACCACATTCGACCAGATACTCGCAAAGCTCGAGTCCCGAAAGCGAATGCAGTTCAGCGCCAGTCCAGGCAACGGGGTGCTTGAGCGCAGTTTGGCGAAAATCGAGGGCGGCGTTGAGCCATCGGCGCGTGGAGTCTATGTCGGCAGCTGTATCAGGAAGATTCTGGGCGAGATTAGAAATATGGTCGTTGAGAGAATGCTGCAAGGCGCCGTCA